TCATTCCTTCCTATGGCATCTCAGATATGGTCATCTCAACTTCAAAGGTCTCAAATTGTTGAGACAGAAAAATATGGTGGTGGGACTTCCCCAGATCAATAGAGAAGACAAGATTTGTGAAGGGTGCATATATGGCAAAATGCATCGTTTGCCATTTCCAAAGACATCTTGGAGAGCAAAAGGGCCACTGGAGTTGGTACATGCAGACATATGCGGTCCAACGCGAACACAATCACTCAGCGGTAAAAGATATTTTCTACTATTTGTAGATGACTTCACCAGAATGATGTGGGTATTCTTTCTGGAGCAAAAGTCAGAAGCTTTTCCCAAATTCCTTCAATTCCAAGCAGTAGCTGAGAAGGAAAGTGGCCATCAAATCAAAACTCTCCGTACAGATCGTGGAGGAGAATTTATTTATACTCCGTTCATGGAGTATTGCCGCAACAACGGGATAAAAAGGCAGCTGACGGTCCGTTACACACCACAACAAAATGGCGTGGCAGAACGGAAAAACCGCACGATTGTGGAGATGGCGAGAAGTATGCTCAAAGCTAAGAAGCTTCCCAACAACTTGTGGGCAGAAGCGGTCAATACAACAATTTACATCCTCAACAGATCACCAACTAAAGCAGTTCGGAACAAGACACCGATACATGCGTGGCACCACAGGAGGCCACAGGTGGATCACCTCAAAGTCTTTGGGTGCATAGCTTATGCACATATCTCTACCCCAAACCGAGACAAGTTTGACCAGAAGGGTGAGAAGCTGATTTTCACCGGCTACAGTGATGAATCCAAAGGCTATCGTCTTTACAACCCAGTAAAGAACGAGGTGGTGGTTTCCCGAGATGTGATCTTTGATGAGATGGCAGAATGGAATTGGGAAAATCCAATTTCTCAATCTCCACCAAGTTATGAAATTCTGGAGGACTCAGCAACTCCAGAAGACCCCAGCAATGACCCAGATCCAGTTGCTAGTCCAGAAAGAAATTCTGCACCTAGCCCAGAAGGAGACAACTTCAGAGACGTCGTAACAGACTCGGATTCACCTCCGTTGAGAACAAGGTCTTTGCGAGAAATTTATGAAACAAGTCATGTTGCATATTTTTCTTGTGAACCTCAAGTCTTTGAAGAAGCATCCAAAGAAGAAGTTTGGAACGAGGCAATGGATGCAGAAATTTCCATGATCGAGAAAAACAAGACATGGGAGCTTGTTGATCAACCGGAGAGCAAGCCGGTTATAGGTCTCAAATGGATCTATAAGATCAAATTCAATGAAGATGGTTCTATCCAGAAGTACAAAGCTCGACTGGTGGCAAAGGGCTATTCACAACAGCCCGGTATTGATTTTCACGAGGCATATGCACCAGTAGCGAGGATGGAGACCATCAGAACAGTTCTCGCTCTAGCTGCTCAACTGGAGTTACTAGTATACCAGCTGGATGTCAAATCAGCATTTCTGAATGGAGAACTGGAAGAAGAAGTCTATGTGGAACAACCACGAGGCTATGAGAAAAAAGGAGAAGAAGACAAAGTCTATCGTCTCCGAAAGGCTTTATACGGGCTGAAGCAAGCACCGAGAGCCTGGAACAGCAGAATTGATCGATATTTTCAGCAAAACGGATTTCAAAGAAGTCCGAGTGAAGCATCTCTCTACATCAAAAAGGGAGATGGAAAAGATTTTCTAATGGTTTGTTTGTATGTTGATGACTTGATTTACACAGGTACAAATCAACATATGATCGAAGAATTCAAAAGTACCATGATGAAAGAATTCGAGATGACGGACTTGGGAGTCATGAAATACTTTCTTGGGATTCAAGTGGAGCAGTCACCTGGAGAAATATTTATTTCACAGGAGAAGTACACCGAAGATATGCTGAAAAGATTTCACATGGCAACGTGCAAACCAATCTCAACACCGATGGCATTAAACGAGAAATTACAACGCAATGATGGAGCTGAATAAGTCGATGGAAAGCTGTACATAAGTCTTGTCGGGTCACTCATTTACCTGACACATACCAGGCCGGATATATGTCATTCAGTAAGACTTATATCAAGATTTATGAATGAACCTAGCAAACTTCATTTTGCAGCAGCCAAAAGAATTTTGCGGTATCTTCAAGGTACTAAGAAATTGGGCCTGACGTACAAGAAAGAAGCAGAAAGCAAGCTGACTGGATTTACCGATAGTGACTGGGCAGGATCACTAGATGATCGAAAAAGCACATCGGGGTACATATTCTGCCTGGGTTCAAAACCCATTTCCTGGAGTTCAAAGAAGCAAAAGACTGTTGCTCTATCTTCAGCGGAAGCAGAATATATCGCAGCTACAGATGCAACATGCGAAGCGGTATGGCTAAAAAGATTAATTTCTGATTTGCAGCAAAATGAAAATGGTCCAACCATTATTCATTGTGACAACATGTCAGCCATAGCCATGACAAAGAATCCAGTATTTCACGCAAGATCGAAGCATATCGAGTTGCGTCATCATTTCATCCGAGACCTCGTCAACGAAGGATTATTCGTGATGGAATTTATCAACACCGACGACAGCCAGCAGATATCATGACAAAGGCGGTCACCCGTGAGAAGTTCGAGAAGTTCAAGGAGCTACTCCAAATTGCAAATTAAGAGGGGGTGTTGAATGGTAATTTGCAATTAACCTTGCCATCAATAAACATCACACATGATGGGCTCATTTGATAATAATGGATGAGTATTAATCATGATGAATGGAGGGCCAAATGATGGAGTGTCTTGCCAACAAAGATGACAAGAAGAGTGAACTACCACTGAATTATGAGAGGCATTTATCATGGACATTAGATGGATTGGATGCCCAACAAGATAAGGAAATAATGCATGGTGGACACACTTAAGTTAATGCCTTCTCAATTATGTTCACATGCATGTAAGAAATATTAAGTGTCTGCATGTGGTGTGTTGTTGTTTCTCTCTTTCATTTTTACAATTATATATACATATGTAGTATGGAGAGTGTCAGAGAAGTGTGGGAAGTGAGAAAAAAGTAAAGGAAAAAAAAAAAAGAAAGGCACAAGTGTGCAGTGTATATATTTTTCTGTAAGTGTTAAACATAAGCCAAAACTATAAGGCTATGTTTGTTTGAGTGTATTTCCAAAAGAGTGATTAAACACCAATTGTTTCCTTTGAGTTGATCCTAAATTACCATTACTTCCCCAAATACCCAACAAAGTGTTCAATCACTTCATCAAGCATAGACGCCTTATCCGTCTAACACAAGGACACCAAAAAAGTAGTGAACTTCTACCATAGTCAGTGACCTCCAACAAAAGCTTTCAGTTTAGGGAAGATACATATGATCTCACCTCGTTATAAATTGGTATCAAGTTCTGTATAAAAAATGTCCACATTGATCCTGCTTCTCCTCCTCAGCTTATCGAGGGTGTCCATTTTACGATAAGATAGCTAATAAGACACCCATAACTAGTTTAGCCAAGCTAAGTATTTCTTTGCAATCAACTATAATAAGCATAATCAGTACATATATTAGGAGATATTGTGACAGGTTTAACTTGTTGACAAACAAACACCGCAGTCATAATACATCATCCAAATTACAGATAACTTAGAAGTGTTTGTATTACTACTGCCTAAGTTAATTAGTGGTTTTGACAGCATTAACTTTAATGAACAATCAACAATATCATCTCATGTTCCCCAAAACTAAAGTTAATGAGAAATCTGTTCTTTTTATATTACCATGAAGTAGCAGAAATCAACACCAAATATCAGTTGTTGAAAGAAGTATCTAGCCTGAGAGAGCGAAGTCAACAACAAGTGCATCAAACTATAGGTAATGGCAGAAGCAAGTGAAAGACCGAATCTAGCAGATCTAAAGGAAGGAGGAAAAAGAATGACCTCATCTTCACTGAATCTGCCAGCGCTCCAGATACGCTCAAAGAGCTCCCCACCAGCAGCATACTCAATTACAATTGCCAAATGGCTTGGAGTCAGAACAACCTGCAAAGAAACTTGAAGAGCACTTCTTGAGAAATCAGTACTAGAAGACTTGATGGAGGACTATGATCAGTTTGTTTGTCAAGGACTTGCCTCCTTGAAGCAGATGATATTGTGGTGCCTGAGCGATCTGTGATTGATAATCTCCCTGGCCACATTCTCGTCTATCTGTTGGCAATCAATATAACCACACCGAATTAAGAAAAACCCAAAGATCAGATTTGAACTTCCAGGAAAATTAGAGAGCAGCAAACCTTGTGACCTCACTCGATGTATTTCATGGCAACAAACTCTTTGGTTTCTTTATGCCGCAACAGCTTCGCCACCCCAAAATTACCAGCTCCCAAATCCATCACTAGATCGTATCTCTCCATTTTTCTCAGATATAATGCTCCAAATTTATGTGCTGCTGACTGCCCCACGGAGTGATTCTAGCACAAGATGCTCTTAGAAGAAGAGGATGGAGCTCACCAAGTATGTGTATGTTGTGCAGAGCAGGGGAAGAGAGCGCTAACCACCTTTTCCTGCATTCCTGCTTTTGTAGAAATTCAGGATTTTGTTTAACTCAAGTACAAAGAGTACTCAACAAGGACAAGAAAAGTAAGTTGTCATGCTGCAGAATCCTACCGCTGGCTACAAGGCTCGTTTGAATCCCGACGCTGAATGCATATATGGATATAGCTCAAATACTTTTCAGTGATAAGACCACAGGTGAGTCATTCTTTCCGAAGGAAGCTGCTGCATTATTAGTGTCAAGGCAAAATGAAAGATTAGAATCTGTTTTTTCATGTCATTTTCTGTTTTTGTTTCCATGGCTGCTGCTAATATGTTCAGTAAGGCCAAGATTTTGTTTTAAACTCTTTCCCATATCCTAAATATATTAAATCACCATTATAAAAAGAAAGTGTAGTCAGACAAAGTATGAGTAAGAAAATCTAATGCTGTAATGAGATGGAATGCAGTGGTTAGCTATAGATGGTTTAAAATAGACTCTATACATACCTGCCGTCAATGGTGGCAAAGAGAGTGCAAATGATCTTGTTTTCCTCATCAGAGAATTCACCATGTTTGATGTTTGGTCTCAGAGAGTTTAGCCATCTCAGCCTGCATCTCTTCCCACATCTCTTCAACTATTCCATGAATAGTTATTAGTGAAATGCTGCTACAAGCAATAATAATCACTATAGATTAATTTCAGGGTTGTTTACACATCAAAATGGATTCATTACCAGCTTTCTGAGGGAGAGCAATCCGGTTGCCACTAGTGCCACATTTCCCAATGTGCCCATGGCCCTTCAGCTTAGCATCTTCTTCAAGTGACCATGGCCCCTTCTTCACATTTTCCAGGCGTGCTTATAAAAGACCCAAAAAAGAAAGTCGAGTTTCAACTGAAACATGAAAATCAGTACTTGGTCAAGATTTAGAAATCACCTATGGATATTGATGAACACTTGCACCTTGGTTGTACTAGGAATCTGCAACTCCTACTGTCACACTTATATGCTTTAAGAAATCTATTTTGCAATTGAAAGAAAGAAACCCGCCGCATGCCCGTGTACTGTACACGCAGACACCTTTTACTGTACAACGTGACTGAGATCTACTGTTTCAAACTGGCGTGGCCTGGTGTGTGGGCTGTTGTTGGGTGAGGCCTCATTGGGATCTGACGTGGGATTTGGCGGACTCTGGGGTCTCGGTCGGTGTGGGACTGGTCGTTGGCTTCTGGTTGGCCTTAGTTGCGGTCGTTTGGTGGCCCGGGCGCGCGTTGGTCATTAGAGATCGGTATGTGACTTTGCCCCTGCCTGGCCACGTGGGACGGGGCCTTCAGATATGCTCAGTAAGTCTTGCGTGATATGATTGTGTCTGTTAGGGATTCCTAGAGGGTCGTGTTGGGCTGTTGTTCGCATCACTGTGTTGGAGGAACTTGGCGGCTGATTGGCTGCCCTTTGAGGTGCTTTGGGGATGGTTGACAACTGATTGATGAGAAAGAAAGCAGAAAAGGCAAAGGGGTTTCTTGATTATTGTGATCCTTCGCAGCGAAGTTTGGTGATCTTTTCCCCACCATACAGGCTGCCTATCTCCCAATTTCCATCATACAGTATCGTTAGAAGAAGTACTGGGAGTGGTTCGAGAGAAGAGAGAGACCCGTCAGAAACCAATCATGATTTCCTCTCCTTTATCTCGGTACCTGATTTACAGACGCTATCTTCCTCAACGCTCTCTCCACCTCTCTCTCTCTATCTACATCGATCTTTATCTCCCCCGCTCCCGCTCCCAGAAGATCCGAATATGGTCTCTTTCTTGCAAGCCCATTCCCTCTCTCTCTCTCCTCTCCTTCCAACAAAGAGGAGCATTTGGATATGGGGAATTTAATCGACGACCACCACCAAAATCCATTCCAACACCATCAATCAGAGTCGGAGCGATCATAGTGATTTGCTTCGGAGCTTTAACCGAAACGGAGGCGACAACAGTGGCCCCTATATCCTTATCTCGACAATCCTCTCCGATGGAGATCCAGATTCTGATCTCCCCGTTAATCCCAAGTAAGTATTTGAGGTTTTGTTTTTATGAAGTTGTACTTTCCTTCATTCAATCCTTTCTCAGCTTTGTTATTTCACTCTTTCGTTTAGGGGTCTACAATCTGGGGAAGACCAACGCGCTGCAAGTTTAGTCCGCTCGGCTATCTCTTCGTCCAAGAAGACAGCTTAAAGTTACAGGTCCGTGTCGGTTGAGGAATCCATTCGTCTTCTAGAAAACGGTAAGCAAGTCGTCCCGATTTTTACCTTTACTCTGTTACAAGTGGCTTATTTTCTTTTACTCTCAGACTTGCATGCCCGGATATGCATGAATCTCGAGCTAATCAGCTGGAGTATTACGGTTGCATTTGATCGATCTGTCGTTGTTAATTGTTAATTCTCCTTTTATGTTTATTGCAGTTGTATGTCGTGTCGAGTATTTGCCTTATGATGCTTATCAAATTTACCATTTTTACTAGGGTTATGTTGTCCTGTTCGTCACTCGACGGGTTCCATCTGTTCACGGGTTCTTCATGCTTTCAAATTCCTTGAGTGGAATTAATTTTTGCTAATTTTTTGGGTGAGTTTAGAACCCACGAGGTGTAGTGGTGTTGTTTCTGTATTTTTATGATGTCGAATATAACGTTGATTGCCTTGGTGCACATCTCTCTCCCATGTCACTTATCTTTTGTTTGATATTCAGTTTTTGCAAGTACAGGAGGTGCACTATTGAGTAGCTTGAGTATTGAGTTTTTCCAGTGTTGTTCATGGATCAGTAGCCAAGGTTTCTATCCGATTATGGGTTGCAGTGGTTTTAGAATGTAGGCAAGAAAAGAGGAGCAACCAGTTGATGGTTGCTGTTTATTTTAACAAGAAATTGCAGGTGGGAGTCACTGCTTTAATTTGAAATTTGACATGTTCCAATCTGTTGCCTAATATAGATGTTTGTAGATAGTCATTTAAATATCAGAACAGAATGACCCTAATAGCATCAAATTTGAGGATTGTATGATGTTTTTGCCTACGTTGAACATAGCCATAAATGAGGAACCAAGTACAACCCATGTTCTAAATATACAGTAAGAGCAAACTTTAGTTTAATTGTGTGTTATCACCTGGACCATTGACAATGTTAAAAATGAATAGACAATAACAAACTGCGGTTACATGATTAAAGTGTTCTCGAATGAAACATTTGAGTTTTCTCAATTTGCTTCAAGCCCGGGCGCGGATAGATAGGTATAAATAACGACCCCTCTTTTATTATTATGATATAAGTAGATATATGAATTGGGCCCAGTATTCTCATGTTTAGCCCGAATAGGAAATGCCTTTGTGTTTATATTAAGTTTCTATAGCTTTTGGGAAGCCCATTCTATAATTGTTCAGTCCATTAGGGGAATAATTGATGGCCCATTGAATATCCAATTTATGATTTTATAATGGTGGTGTGAAAACGTTTTGGGGACCAACTTCCACCGCCTTTTCATTTCGGTTCTGATTCTACCTTTTCAACTTCCCCTGTTCTCTGAACTTCTTTTCCCAGAAGCTATAGTGCTTCGCAACTCCCAGATCAGAGATAGTCGTATATTCATGGGGTATGATCACCGATAGTTTTCCCTTTTGCATTCTGTCTCTGTTTCTTGACACTTGAACAAATTTTTGATCTTCTATTGTCTTTCCATATCAGGCATCGTTGTATAATGCCGCGTGATTTCAAACTTCCAAGTCTTCCACGAGGTATCGACTCCGTTGCTTTCTGTTTCAAGTTTCTATCTATTGGTTTATGAATGAAAACTGTCGAAGTGTGAAGTTCTGGGGGTTTCCTTTTGTCTTTCGTTTACTACAGACCCAATTTCCACATGCATGGTGTTTCGTGGCCTATGCGTTGGTGCTTATACTGATATTATGATCATCCGAGTTCTTAATGTATGGATTGAGTATAGTGATCATTCTCAAGGGCATAAAAGAATAATGCATGTGCTGTGCCTTGACAAAGAGGTCTGTCATTCTTATATATAATGTAATATTTACTGTTTATGTTTGATGTGATGGTGATAATGCACTGAATCACATTTAACAGGAACATATGCTAGAGGCCTGCATTGAGGAAGATGACATTCAAGGAATGCAAGATAAGTTGAAAGTAGGAGATTTACATGTCCTGGATGGTTTTCATGCTATTCCTGCGAGGGAAAATAGGCGTGTCGTTCCCGCTGAAGTTCGCTTTGCCTTAAGGAGTGATCAGATCATATTTTGCGTGCCTGACAATCCGAGTTATCCCAAGTTTCCTGTCAATGCTTTTCTGAAAACTTCATTTGTGGCTGTTCCAATAGAGGCAGAAGCAGTTGTGAATTATGGAGGTATTTTACTCAGAAGTTGTTTTCACACAAATTTTTCATGATTATTTGCTTACTATCAATTTAATTGCAGATGTTACAGGTTGTGTTATTCATCTAACAATTCCAGAGGTTTCAAGTAAGGTGTTCTTAGGTTTGAGCTCATCATAGAAGACAACAGGTTTCTTGCGTATTCTTATGCTGACTTTTGTTTGTTAGACTTTTATGTGGGATTAACTGATCTTTTGTTATTTTGTATAGAGGGGACAGGGCGACAGTGTACTACTATGGATCTGAGGTTACAAAGTATTTGGAGTTTGCAGGGGAATCTGAATCTCGGCTGCCTCTCGTTACCACAATTACTGCTGTTACAAGGCTGCCAGTTACAGATAGCACTGGAGATGCATATATATTTCAATCTTCACCTGGGAGTCGTCTGATCGTTGCTTCTTACAATCACCATTATGAAAAAATAATGAATAGGTATTATTATATACGAATTCTGTGTTTATAGATTGACAAACCTGTACTGTTGGATGATAGAAAAACAATACATACATGCTTTTTGTTGTTTAGGTTCATAGGTGATCGGATGCCAGTGACTTACATAAATAGTGCTTCTCGCTGCTCTATTAGTTGTCTTCGAGGTCTTCTTCCTCCCAAAAGAACACTCAGGCAGCTAAAAGATGATATAATGTTCCATGCACAGTCCTATCAGGTATATGTATGATGTTGTATGTTCTAATTGTATTAGATTACACATATCCCAAATATATAGTCATATCTCTAACCTATTACAACACAAATTCCTTCCTTCAGACTCTCTATCGTTGTATGGTGGAAATGACAAGATTTACATACGGTCCATAAGTCTTTAAATCAAGTTCAGGTTATCCAAGGTATGATTAAATTCTATGTTTTGCTAATAATCTGCTGTCCATTGCATTTAAGGAAAATCAAAACGTTCCTTTTATTCTTTAATTCAGGGTACGATACGATTTACATGCAACATGTGAGTGTGAGGGCGAATATGTTGATGTTGTATTCGATCATGAAGCTGTGTTGGGCTTGGTCTGCGTTTCACCTGAGGAACTTTTCAGTCTAACGTACTCACTTTGACCATTAACTGCCCGCTGGTTATTCTGTTCAGTCCATATGAAAGTCCCTAATGTTTGTACCTCAATAGTTCAGAGAGGTTAATGTTTTGTCTTGATCATGCGTCCAAATAATGAATGATGAAGAACTATATTCAACTTCACTTTTGGCGATCAGTTCCTCAAACACATGTTGCAGTTTGTATTATCATATAAATGAAAGATCTGAGTTATTAGAACCGTTATTAGAACCATCGTCATCTAAATGTAAAATAGAAAAACTCAAATTTGAACGAATTGCCTTGCCTGGACCACAAAACTATGGGACGATACAGAGTGAATCAATAAACATACAGGCCCGTTATTCAAGCCCACAGTACAATACCAATGCAAAGCCTTTATAGTCACAAACATGATTTAAATAAAAGCCCATAAACCAGGCCCGTTCAGACAAAGCGATCCTCCTTAAAACCCTATCCTCCCTCATCAACCATCGACAACCGGCGTCCACATCTTCGTCAACCTTTCTCTGTCGAAGAAGCCCCACCACCGAAACTACCAGACAAACATTAAAGCAAAGGTAAGTCCACGCCTTTCTCTTCTTCACCGCTTTTACTGCTGAAACAACATTTCTGGTCAGTTTTTGTATTGTTCGTACAGAGACCCCACTTGCCATGGAGAGTTTAGGCAAGAACCGCCAGACAACATATGGCGCTCACATGGTCCTGTTACGCGGAAGATTCTAGAGCATTCTAGAAGGGTGCAAGTACATGCATACATCTTCCGATTCATGCACCAATGTACATGCATCCCCCTTTTTCTATCTTTATTCATGTATCTCATTTATTACATTCATGTATGGGGCTAGTTCATGTATGGGGGGACTATCTAGGTTCGTTCATTTATGATGGCCATATACGTTGTACTTAGTGGAGAGGATGCCTATATAAGCAGCCCTCTCCACCATTTTTCATTCATCCAGAAATTGAGAGATTTTCATCTATAGAGTTTCTCCAACACTTGTGAGTTTGAGTGAATACGAGCAAGGCTGACTTAGCGCTCTAACGAGACTTGAGTGCTAAGTGCCGCACGGCCAAAAGTTGGTCCGTGACAAGTGGTATCAGAGCCAAGGTCGTAGCTCAGCAAGTGAGAAAGAACCTCGAGGAGATGGCTGGATCCGGAAGCGAAGTTCTCAACAATGAGGAACAACGCGGTCGTGAGGAGAAGAAGGATCCAAATGCAAAGAAGGATCCAAATGCAAAGAAGGAACCAACGCTCCTGCTACTTTTTGCACCTTGATGAACCAAGTTTTCGAGCCGTTCTTGGATCGCTTCGTGGTGGTGTATTTGGATGACATCGTGGTGTACAGCAACACACTCGATGAGCATGTCGAGCACTTGCGACAAGTGTTTCGAGTCCTTCGAGACAACGAGCTCTACGTCAAGAAGGAGAAATGCACGTTTGCAGCAGCGGAGGTTCCTTTCCTCGGCCACATCATTGGCGGAGGCAAGCTAAGGATGGACGAGGCCAAGGTGGAGGCGATACAAGGATGGGAGCCACCGATGAGGGTCACCGAGTTGCGATCATTCCTTGGCCTGGCCAACTATTATAGGAGATTCATCAAGGGATACTCCGCTCTTGCAGCACCCTTGACGGATCTTCTAAAGAAGAACAAGGCTTGGGAATGGTCGGATCGGTGCCGCGAAGCATTTGAAGCCTTGAAGGATGCGGTGACGAAGGAGCCAGTGCTAGCACTTCCCGATCCAACCAAAGCGTACGAAGTGCAAACAGATGCCTCCGATTTTGCAATTGGTGGAGTGTTGATGCAAGAAGGGCACCCAATTGCTTTTGAGAGCCGCAAGCTCAATGAGGCCGAGAGGAGATATGCGGTGCAAGAGAAGGAGATGACGACGGTGGTCCATTGTTTGAGAACGTGGAGGCATTACTTGCTTGGGTCGAAGTTCGTTGTAACAACGGACAATGTGGCGACGAGTTACTTCCTCACACAGAAGAAGCTCACGCCCAAGCAAGCAAGGTGGCAAGATTTCCTCGCGGAGTTCGACTTTGTGCTGGAGTACAAGCCGGGGAAAGCCAACTTTGTTGCCGATGCTCTTAGCCGAAAGAGCGCACTTGCCGCCATAAGCCAGCCGCAATTCCCCTTGAAGGAGAGGATTGAAGAAGGCCTTAGCCACGACCCCTTCGCCAAAACCGTGGTCGAGTACATCAAACAAGGGAAGACTCGGCGGTTTTGGATGAAAGGCGGACTCATCGTGACTAAGGGGGAGCGAGTTTTCGTGCCGCGGTGGGACAACCTACGAAGGGAGATCATGAAGGAGTGCCACGACTCCAAGTGGGCTGGTCATCCCGGCATTGAGCGCACACAAGCTCTCATACAGGAGGCTTACTATTGGCCTCGTATGAAGGACGACGTGGAACTCTACGTCAAGACTTGTCTTGTTTGCCAGCAAGATAAGATGGAGCAGCGGAGTCCGGCGGGCTTGTTGGAGCCATTACCCACTCCACAACGGCCTTGGGAAAGCGTTAGCATGGATTTCATCATTGGCCTTCCCAAAGTCGAAGGGTGTGGTTCCATCATGGTCGTCGTCGACAGATTTTCGAAGTATGGCGTCTTCATCGCGGGGCCCAAAGACATGACGGCCGAGGATGCAGCTCGCTTGTTTTTCAAGCATGTTGTGAAGTATTGGGGCATCCTGGTTAGCATCGTCAGCGATAGAGATGGCCGCTTCACCGGCAAGTTTTGGAGGGAGTTGTTCAAGATGATGGGCTCCGATCTGAACTTCTCCACGAGCTTTCATCCTCAAACGGATGGGCAAACCGAGCGGGTCAATGCTTTGGTGGAGGTCTACTTGAGGCATTATGTGAGTGCCAACCAGAAGGATCGGGTGAAGCTCTTGGATGTAGCCCAATTCTCCTACAACTTACATCGAAGTGAAGCCACGAGCATGAGCCCGTTCGAGTTGGCGACTGGCCAGCAGCCGTTGACACCTAATACGGTGACGACGGGGTACAAGGGCAATAGCCCATCTGCCTACAAGTTTGCACGAGGATGGCACGAGAAGATGGAGTTGGCAAAATCTTATCTCGCTCGAGCAACGAAGAAGATGAAGAAGTGGGCGGATAAGAAGCGGCGTCATTTGGAATTCGAGGAGGGAGACTTGGTGATGGTGAAGTTCTTCCCTCATCGATTCAAGCACCTTAAAAACGTGAACAAGGGGCTGCTGCGACGGTATGAAGGGCCATATCCGATCTTGAAGTGGATTGGCACGGTGGCGTACAAAGTTGAGCTGCCATCGCACTTGGAGATTCACCCCGTCTTCCATGTGAGTCAATTGAAGGCATATCATGAAGACAAGGAAGATGGAGCGCGGAAGGATTCGACGAGGGCACCAACACTCGTCACCACAACGCATGAGCACGAAGTGGAGGAGATCTTGGCTCATCGTGTTGTTCCTAGGCGTGGTGTTCACCCAAGCTACGCGGAATATCTTGTCAAGTGGAAGGGGCAGCCAGAAAGCGACATCACATGGGAGAAGGAGCTTTCGCTATGGCGTCACAAAGACTTGATCGAGGCATTTCATGCGGAGTCCGCGACGAGGGCGTCGCGAGATTGAGTGGGGGAGAATGTTACGCGGAAGATTCTAGAGCATTCTAGAAGGGTGCAAGTACATGCATGCATCTTCCGATTCATGCACCAATGTACATGCATCCCCCTTTTTCTATCTTTATTCATGTATCTCATTTATTACATTCATGTATGGGGCTGGTTCATGTATGGGGGGACTATCTAGGTTCGTTCATTTATGACGGCCATATACATTGTACTTAGTGGAGAGGATGCCTATATAAACAGCCCTCTCCACCACTTTTCATTCATCCAGAAATTGAGAGATTTCCATCTATAGAGTTTCTCCAACACTTGTGAGTTTGAGTGAATACGAGCAAGGCTGACTTAGCGCTCTAACGAGACTTGAGTGCTAAGTGTCGCACGGCCAAGAGTTGGTCCGTGACAGTCCCCACCGATATCAAAGGTCAGAACTTTCACTTTCGTAAACAAATCCTCCCAAGAATCTCGATACCTCTGCAAGAAACATAAAAAAACCATTTCGTTCCCCTCTATTGTCTTATAGATCCGATTGAAACTTGCATGCCATTTCGGGGCTTGCGTTTGGGCATAAACACTCGCATAGTCATTGCGCGGCCTGTGATGACGTGGCTTGAATTCCGAGAGGCACCCGGGCTTAAAAACGTCAGCATGCACATGATTTGGATAGACAAGAAGGTTCATTTACAATTAAGTTACAGAATTGCATAATTTATTTATAAGTTCTTTTAGACCAATGTACCATGTAGTTTGAGATCGCTAAACTGTTTATCTTATAGGAACGATTGATCGAGTCGATGGTTGATGAAAAGGACATCAGCGAGATTTCTCGCAGGATTAAAGTCGGGAACCTTTATCGTTTTGATTCGGTGGTGGCTATACCAGCAAGGGACAATCCTAGGATTGTTGCAGGAGAGTTAAGGATACACATAACTCCCGAACAAAACATCCCTAGAATTGAAGAAGATCCAGACGAGCCACGATTACCCATTGGCTGGGACATTGGGATGGCTTTTTCGATAGTACCACTTCAGACAAGTACCATTGATTATCATACAGGTTACGCGTGACTATCTAAGTTTTTTATGCTAAAATAGACGTAAGCTATAAAATGACAAACTCTCCTGGTAACCACAGATATCACTGCATGCGTCAGGCGTATTAGTATTCCTACAACAGTTCGTGGTATCCTCCGAGAATTCAACCTGGTCATACAGGATGTGAGGTGCGTTCTATAGAATAATACACTACTTTGTTAATTATATGAACCATCCATCTTACATATATCTGTCCCGATCAGTGGTGCCAAGGCATCTGTGCTGTATAGAGGATATGACATCTGGAAGTTCTTAGAGAATGCGCCGACAGCTGAGGCTCATCTGCCCCTCATTGTTACAATCAAAGCTGCTATTCGAGTGCCGCGTCTGTCCACCCAGAAATATAAATATTGTTTTGAGTCAACTCATGCCAGTCAGTTAATAATCATATCTTATGCGGGCATATTTAGAGAAATAATGCACATGTACACTTCTGACTGAACAAATGTTATTCATTCTTTGATTCATATATACTGCCAACCGACCAGAACAAAGCTAACAATTTGTATTATTTTGCTACAACCAACTTTCTTTATAGTCGCAGGCAGGTCTACTACATGGACCCTAACACCAGTAAGAAGACAGTCTGCCTTCGATCAACAGTTGAGAAGAAAACACTTGCTGACATCAAAGCTATTCTTGCATCTGATCAGAGCTGCCACAAGGTTAGTCGTGGACAAAATGCATCATAAATAGCTACATCTAGCAGTTACAATTTATAAACAAACATTGCTAACTAAAATATACCGTTCGTGTTAGGTGCTTTACCGTGCCAAGTTCCACATATCACAGATGAAATTTCGCAAAAGCATTTGCAGGACAACTGATGAATGGCCAGAGTATGTTTACTATTTCGATGCGCATCTATTATCTGCTAATTGATCCACACAGAAACTAACATAACTTCTCGCTTACATTTATGTCCAGCTTGCAACTTGAAGTCAAATGTGAACAAGGATCTGATGACATTGATGCCATACTGGACCATGAGGCAACTCTCTCAATAATCGGAATGACGCCAAGCAAGTACATGAAACTCGAGGCGGATGCGGCTAAGGCGTTGCTGATAAAATAATGCAGGAGAACTGTAGATCGGTTCCTCGGATCTCAAGAACAGGACCGCACCAGCCAAACCTCACGTCAGAGTTTCAACACTTTGGCACACCTCAAGAATCGACAAGTGATCGTCAGCACCAATGATAGAAAGAGCCCCTGCTACGTGTTTGCTACCTCTATTATCCTCCTTCCCTAACTAAGTTTTTATTTTCAAGGTCAAATGAGGACAAAACAATGTTTAGATTTGATTAGGATTTTCGGATTTCACAAGGCTGTTAAGCACTATCTTTTGTTTTTATGCTTTGGAACATTAATTCCGCGACCCAGTTACGTGCACCCAACTATAATGCATATACAATGGCAGCATCTTTGCTATGATAACTATGATGTTTGATGAGGCCTGGTAGGTACCATAATTGAACAGCCCCGTGTAACCTGACAACATATATATCATGATCCATGAAATTACTCAAGCCAAACTTAACCCGCGGCGGAGCGCGGGCTGAGAACTAGTTATAGTAAAAGCCCTAGTGATTTTATAATTTAAAGAAGCAAGTAGAAGCTCGTTGTATAGACTTTATGTTCTCTGACTTAAGCTAATGAGAATTACTTAGAACTAGACTACATTGACAGAGACATGATACCCTTTAGATGGAACGAGTAATACATACCTGATAGCAAGTTGGCAGCTCACAACCATCTATGAAGAATCATCGCCAACTGTACCTTATGAACAAGTCCATTACTGAGTTTAGTAGAGAATCCACATTCAAATTAGATAATCAAAATACAAACAAAACTAGCATAGGAGAGGCAACAAGGATAATCGTATTCGAAGTTAGAGCTTGAAAATGAACTTGTTAAACTGAAGGGACTAATCAGGGTGATTACCTTACTAGATTTCATGAAAATCAAAATACTTAACCCTCTCAAAACCTAGTCAGTCCCATTAGCCAGGGTAATCAACCATCTTAAGAGAAAACTACACTACTAGTAGAGACAACCCTCTGTTCGGAGCCTATTGCTTTCAAGAAGCCAACAATAAAGATGGTACCCACATTTTCAACTACGAAGGAAAAACGGGGATAATCGAGAAGTGCCAGCAATGAGATAGAGTATAACCAGATACCTAAAGTCTGTTCCTCCTTTGCTATGTTGTGACGAATATGTTCTATCTCACGGAGGATGTCGACGGAGTGTCGTCTATGAAAATCAAGTGCGCTCCTTCTACCAAAAGACCGGCATCATCTGGCAAAATCTCAGGAAGTTTGAACCCGCTGTCGCTTCCTTGACGCGACGATGGAAATAATTTCCAAAATCAATCTCACTAGAATACCCGACAACGGCCAGAGGAAACGAGTTCTAGAGATCAATCTTGCTAGATCTCGAACCACCTGCCAGGTTTTCGATCAAATGCTTCCCGTGATGCTCCATCGAGTTAATTCGCTATTCTTCGAAGCTCCGGATAACTACAGATCCCTAACCAATTCAATGAAACCTTGAAGAAGATGAACAAAGCGACAGAGATTCCGATGACTGCGAGGAGATTGCGACTAGGAGAAGTGATTTTGCGCAAGGTCTGCTGGGAATGAGATTGAATCGCGGAGCAAGAGATTTGAGATTTCAGAGGCAGCCGAGATGATGGCAGGGAAGGAGTGTGCGCAGGTGCAGAGGATTTGAGGATCGTTTCACTTGGAAGGTCGTCGGTGGTGTCGGCTAGGGATGTGGATGAACAGAGGATCAGGACGACAACTGCGAGAAGGGGTGGAGGATTCTCCGTCCTTTTCTTTTTTAGAATAATTTTAGGGTTCGGAATATGAAAACTCGTTTAGAATTGGAAAGTACTTTAACAATAGCAAGGGTTTAATAACCCCTTGAAAGAACCGTTGTATATGGTAAGGATTTAAAAATTAGCAAGGGTTATGCAACCCTTGCAACAAAACCCTTGGCATAGCTTCATTTTTTTGTAGTGGCATCTTGTCAAATATGTTTGAACAGGTTGGAAATCATGGTTCTAGCTAGAATGAGTTCATCGACTGATAGTCGTAATGCCACAACATAGAGAATCATGTCGTGCAGTTATGATGTCGGTCGCTTCAGTAATAGATATTTTGAGATGAAGTTTTATATCATTTTGTGTTTCGGCTAGTCGATAAGCTATCTCGATCTCGAAATTGACCCATGTCTGGAGAAATCTCTCAAGAACCGATGGTATAGGCAGGGGCGGAGCCAGGATTTCTAGACCGGGGGGGCCGAAAATAATTAAAAAAATTTATGTAACCAATGTGGATCGAACCCGTGTGCTATAATACACAAGTTAAGCTTGGCTACCATTAGGCCACATAACTATTTGATGATATAATTTGCAGAATATGTCCTACTTCTAAAATTTGTACGAAATATCCTTAAAAACCTAGGGGCCGGGATCAATCCCGGGGGGGCCGGGGCCCACCCTAGCTACAATGTAGCTCCGCCCCTGGGTATAGGAGACGACGAGGCTCCCGAGGAATAGCGACGATCCCATATGATTCACGAATAAGATCGAGAACAAGGTAACAAATGATTCAATTGCGTTGATGTTGAAAAAAGCAGTGTTCATAAGAATTAGAGGAGGGCTCGATGAAAAGGATGGGATATAACGTTGGAGTTTTAAGTGTGGTTAGAAAAGCATGAGGTGGATACGTTGATGAATGGTTGGAATTGTAATTCTAGAGCTTGTCGGCCGATTAATTGCATTAAGTTAGGGACAAGGATGAAATTGCGTTAACAAAGAGAAGTTAAAGTTAGGAATGAATTTTAGTTTATTTTATTTCATGGCTTTCTCGTGTGCATGGGTCCTGCGAAGAATCACATAAGTCAAAGGCCACGGGGAAGGAAATCAGATGAGACGAACTCTATACCAAGCTAGCTAGTTGGACGGTTTGGAGCTAATTCTTGGAGAACAAATAGTAACAAAGACCATCATTCTCCCTTGGAGCACCTGTAAACTTAAGTCGGTCGTTATTTCAAGTCAATCGATTTGAGTATAAGGTGTTAGAGTTAGTCAATAGAGTTGTAATACCACATTGATGGGAGAAGAAAATTATAAGAATTGAGTCTTTTGAGATTTTAATTAATTAATTAGTTAATTAATTGTTATGTTAATTAATTAGCGTTTGAATATTGTGAAAAGAGGTATCCTTTTAAAAATGTAACTTCTCTTTTCTGTGAAACGATGTGTTCTTTCGGGAAAGGTAACTATCTTTTTCTGTGAAATGTTGTGTCTCTTCGAAGGTAACTTCCAGTTTTCACAAGTATAAATAGATGACTGTCATAACTCTTTTGATGACGTGAGATTACTTCTTCTACCCGTTTTCTTTCTCTATTTCATAAACACAGATGTCTGCAAGATTGCTGCTTCCAGACTTATAATTGAAGGGAATCCTGGGGGTGGTTTGCTCGAGCCTACAAGAAATTTATAGTGAGGGCAAATAACACTCTAAGGAGAGTGATTAATCACGCCTTCAATCCGATTCTTTCTTACGAGTTCCTGACATAAGGTGCATGGTTAAAGGGGTAGAGTAGTTTTCGTTATCACTGTATATGCATTTAAGTTCATGTTATGCCTTTTAGTTCTTCTTTTATATTCAGTCATTCCTTATATGGTTTCATATTAAGTTAATTTGTTTATGTTCAGTATTTACATTGAGTGTACATAGCATGCATCATTGGATCATAAGTAAACTACCTTATGGGTCAAGCAAATACACGTTCATTTCTAAGCTAATCCAAGTGCAAGTTAATAGGCTTATATCTTCCCATTATGCGGAGATCACCTAAGTAAGCTCAATCTTCTCAAGTCAAGTAAGAAAGTACAAGATTAAGTATGTCTCTCCATCGTGTGAGAGGTTGTTTCAAACAAGCACGTATAAGGCATCAAGTTAATAAGTAAGAATACGCACCCTCCCTTGACTAGTCGTACGTGGTCACCTTACTCCTTGTAGATGAGGGGTCATGACATGTACGTCATGATCGGTGCCAGACGCGGTCACCACTACTCTCTGTAGATGGGGTGGTATGTTATGTTACTCCTTGTAGATGAGGACGTTATGTTCATGATACGTTGGT